ATCTGACAGGATTACATGTGTGCACAGAATCACACATTTCTTCACTTCATGAAAGCTCAGTTTCAACACACATCTTGAACCTGTTTTATAACTCTAATAATTTCATGCAGGACTATTGGAAGCCTGTTACCAGTACTTGGTGTATTAATATTCAAGGGGATTATTTTAGGCAGGTATTAATGGAGACTTTTTTTTTTTTTTTTTGACATTTTAGCGAAATGGTACGTTCCAAGAGTGTTGACAAGCTTTTAATTTTATATTTATTTTAGGTTTCAACCACAAACTTCAATATATTTCACGGGGGTTTTTATTTGATAGACCAACAGAACGTGTGATTAGTGTTCTCAAATTAGCACTTTGTAGAACCTTGCTTTTGATGCATTCCAGATTCAGATCTTTTGGGTCTGAATCTTTTGGGTTCTACCCAATTGGCGAATCTAGAAGCAGAAGAATTTGTTCTGTTTTCATTGCCAGTCAGCTCAGCCTCAGTCAGATTTGATGGGGAGACTAGGAAGATGAATTTTCAAGCTTTGTTATTAATTGCTAACTGGATTTTGGTCTGGAGTTTGACATAATGTATAGATTAAAAATGTGTGCATCTGATCATAACTCTGTTGTAAGGTGACGTCCCAGTCTCGAGTCTTTTACAGTGCCTTACATGCTTTCTTACAGGATTACTCTTCATTAAGCTTCACATTATCCCATCTCCTTTGACCAACTTCCTAGTCTATGCTGAAGATCATCCCCCACTGCCAAATAAAGCCATGTTTCACTGTGGGTGACGCACAGGGCTAGCTTTATGCCAATCATAACCTTTTTGCATGTAAGACAAAGCTTGATTTGGGTCTGCTCTGACCAGAGCACCTTCATTTACATTTTTTTATTTTTTTTTGTTGTTGTTTGTTTATTGTTTGTTTTTTTTCTCCTACATGACTTGTGGACATTTTCAACAAAGGGATTTGTCTTGCCACTCAAAAGTCAGTTTTATGCTGTACACTAGTAATGGTCCTTTCTACAAACTCCAACTTTCTTCCTGAGACACCATTGTCTCCTTTTACATAAGTTTAGGTGGATTGCCATGTCTTGGTAGGTTGTGTGTACACTCTTACCATTTTTCAGATGATGAGTTGAACACTGTTTGATAAATGTTTATAGTCTAGGTTGTTGTTTTATAAGCTAACCCTATTACCTTAGATATGTCATGTGTTTGCTGGTCTGTTTGGGGTTTTTTTACTCACTAATGTTCCTAACAAACTTCTGAGACCTTCAACTGCAGTTATATAGACTTTAAATGGTTTGTTACATTAAATCCTAATAAAACACATTGAGGTTTATTATTGTACTGCGAGCAAATGTAAACAGTTTAAGAAATAAAAGTGCTTTTGGAAGGCACAATTTTTTTTTTCCTGATGTAGGCTTTGTTTAGTGTCTTAAAATGTCTAGTTTTACTCAGAAATGTCCAAACTGAAATCTTGAGGTTGGTGTATTTTGGGGGTATATTTGTTTAGCTGAAAGAAGTGATTAACAGAAAATAACAACAATTAAGCCTATGCTTTTCTTTGATGAATAAAACAAGCTTGACTAAAATTTGATGGCACTATTCATGAAAACTGTTATATGAAAAACAATATTGTATTGTCAGAGAGGCTTTGTTTACAATCCTTAATGTATTACTTGTAGTGCTTCAGCCCACTTCAATTTACAAAGACAGATTGGAGGTCAAATCCAAATCATCTTGTGTTTTTTGTTTTGTTTTGTTTTTTTCTTCAAGACAAAGTGTCTGAGCTATACTGATGATGTGGCGTTTTGGGCCATATTCTGGTAGCTTCTGAGCATTTTGTACATTCATGTGAGTTACAACAACTGCATCAACCTGCGTTTATTCCACCTTTTGATGTCATGCTTCTTACTGTCTGCAAATACAAGTCTGCGAGAGGGAAGGCCGAGGGAAACGGGAAACGGCTCTTTACAGGTCCTGTTTAGAATTGTAAATGTATAGCATGGGCACCACTGTCCAATTACATATATCTTTCATGTATAAAATCATGCATGCCTTTTTTTTTTTTTTTTTTTTTGAACGGGGAAACCCCCCCAAAGGGGAGAAACCCTGGCTGCAGAAGAACAGTGAAAATAAGGTCGAGTGTCGGAGCCCTGGAGCCCTAATTCAGCACGCAGGAGAGGCGGGAGGGATGATGCTTTCCCCCCAGATGGAAATTCTTTTTTTCTCCTGAATTCAGCTTTATTATCATTCCCCTCCTTGGAAGGCAGCTGATCTGTTTGATCTCAATTCAGATTTTATTGAAAATTATTTCCAGATTGTGGCAGTGACGATTTCTGCATTAACAATTTATTATTATTATTATTATTATTATTATTGTTGTTGTTGTTGTTTGTATGTTTTTATATAAGCAACCTTAACATGCTTTCATAATAAAGTAAAACGCAGACTTATCTTTGTTTGCTTGTCCTTATTCTCGTTATCAAAACAAGTGTGTTTAGATCCTTAAATCCAAGTGACTCATCTCCTGCTGGTTGTGCCATATTTTCTTCCATTGTTAAAATATTCTTCCTTGATTTCATGAACCAATTTCTCTTATTATCAGGCATAATTTCAAGTGAAGAACAATCTCCTCTCTGTGTCATCGATAAACAGTTTTACCTTTTGAATGAAGGATATCTGATATCGTTTGAGTCAAAGTCACTGCAGGGAAACGAAAACATGTTTTCAAAAACAAAATTATTTGGTACAGTGCCAATAACTTGGGTCCAGGACTTGAATGTCGACGGAGAGATGCACTGGCAAACTAAAATCAGAAGTTGAAGGTCTGTGCATCACAAAATTGACATTTTTGATGTCAAACTCACAGACGTACCAAAAACTCTTTCAATAAACACACAAACATACAATGTGAGCTTGTGGTCACAATTTAACAGCAAAAAAAAAATCCACTTTGGATTTTCTAAGATTTTGAACATTTAAATATGACGGCATACACACTTCTTTCAGGATGAAAACACGAAAGCGCACAGTTGGTAAATGTTACTTTGAGGTCATTTTGAAGCTGGTTTGCACTTCATTTCACATTAACTATATGTAACTGCATACATTCGCCACGCGTTGGCATGTGCACCTTCCCCGTTTCTGATGGGATCATGTTAACTGTCTCCTCTCAATCAAATAATATTGATGGAATATGTGCAAAACAAAGGCATGTATTTTAAGAAATAAATCTGAACAGCAGGATGTTACACTGGTAAAGAGATAAGCAAAGTAGTGGTTGGTTAATGTGGCATAAAGTCTGGTTTGCAGCGAAACTGCTAAAATGATCTCACAGATCCTGTCATAACACGAACAAACGAAGATGCTCAGAAAACACATCCTTCAAGAAGGTTGCTGTTGAATTTTGACTCATTTCATGGCTTTCTTTCTTCTCCCTTTTAACAAACAATTCTATATTTTAAGAATCGCTAACAGAAAACATCACGCATCTAACTCAGAGCAGCTCTGTCCGCACAGCACCGTGCCAAATTTAGTGAAATAGATGAACTTCCCCTCTCACACTCACACTCACACACACACACACACACACACACACACACACACCACATCGTCTGTATGTCTACTGTAATAGATATACACACACAGAAGCACCCCGATAAATTCAAATGTCATTGAAAGATTGACTAAAAACTTGCTGAAAATGTTATTACAAAAGATCAATAAGAAATAAGCGTTTTTTACATTGAAATGTCAACTGAAAGGTATGTATGTATTGTACATTACAATACGGACTCTAAGATACATGGTCAGGGCTGTTTTTTAAAGAACTACTACATAAATGCAGCTTTACAAGGAGACTATCAAACTGTAACTCAGCTGAGGTGTTAAGGAAGCCCAGGTAGCTTTAAGAGACAACGGCTAAATGAAACACAACGGGCCGAACAGGCAGAAGACATGGGTCACCAAATCATCACTGACTAGTGAAATTCACACTGGACCTCAAAGCAGTGCATCAGTCCAAATCTCACTCTTTCTCCAGACCCTAGGACCTTGTTTATACATGAAAATCTAAATTTGAATCAATCTGAAATGCTAATTTTAGAATAGTGAGAAACAGCCCTGTCTTTTGTTCCTCCTTACCTATATTTCCAGACACAGTCTCTGGTTGACATGTGATCAAACACAAGGCATGTGACAGGCTAAACATAGAGCTTGAGTACCTTTTCCTTTCACATTTTTCCTTCCACTCAACTTTCTATCCGCATGCTTGGATAAGGTCAACGCAGTGACCTTTCAGGGCTCGGGGTTCCTGTGCAGACTGTCAGTGACTGTCTGCTGGAAAACTGCCACATTAGCAGTTACAACTTATTTAATCTGTAGTAAATATTTGTTTGGTTTTCATTAGCTGTGGCCAATTATGATCAAACTCAACAGAAACAACATTAATCCTCTGCAGACTTTAAACTCCTCACAATATTTTTGCTCAAACTTCGTTGTAAAACAGTTTTGTTTCAAATCAGCTGTTAGTGAGCTTTTCAACGTTCCTATAAGCTGCCTGGATGTTTACACACCCACCGCATGATTGTGAGGTTAATTTGATGGCGATAAAATATGTGACAGAAAACCTGTGAAAACCGAGGCTCTGTTCTTTCTTCATAGATATGTGTGAATGAAGCTGAGAAGAGGATTAACGCAAAAGTGACTGCATAAAACAATGCTTCCCTCAACATATTGCTGAACGTTGCCAATATGAGTCCTAAGCTTCCAACCTGAAGTGTGCGTGCATGGAAGGAAATTTCAACACATTCAGAACCTCTAATCCAAGAGCAACAAGCAGAAAACAGGGCATGTAGATGGGATATTTCTCAGCCAGACATTGCTTCGCACCAAATCCTAAAACAAACTAACCATGTGGGGAGCAAGTTAGCTACAAAGACCATAAAATGTTAAAGACCTCAGTTACGGGGCCGCATAAGCAGTGGGGTCTTCACAGCCTTACCTGATGGAGGTTTTCGGTCTGAGTGTCCCCTCTCTGACTGCGTCTCCAATTCGGGTGTCTGTTTGAAGTCAGCGTGCAGAAAGGTCACGCCCTCTTGGTCTCGGCACGCTTCTTGTGGACGGCCCAGCCACAATTACTAATATCGCGATGGTGGTTCTTTGTGTGCAGAAAAATGAATGAAAAGCGTAAAGCTATTGATTCGGTGCCTGGGCACCTGAAGTTGTTTTGGTGAGATACTCCTAGAATTCCAGGTATTTCCAGGGTTTTCCAAAGCTATGTGGTTTGGGATTTAGGGACTCCCAGGTCACACGAACAGCATATCAAGATGACAGCATCGCCTAGAGTAAGAAGAGAAGAGAAAGAAAGACCGGACTTAGGGAGATGGTTTCAACACACTTGGAAAACATTACAACAAAGGAAAACAAAAGTTCCATGGCAGTCCTCTGTAAGCCCCGCAGTTTCTGTGCCTCATCCCGGAAATATGAGCACATAATAAATGTCTTTCAGGGGAGGCAAACCAGAGCAGTATGATTTCCATCAAGACTTCAAAATTAATCATCTGTTTTCAGAGTCAACAAAATTAATCTATAATTATTTGTATGCTACCACTGCTGGACAGCCTCGCATGATTTCAAGATTATATTTAATAGCAAATGAACTGCTGTGAGTAATTTCTTTTCTCATACCACTGAAGACTTTTCAGATGAAAAATGAAAAGAAGATTTGCAGAGAAACTTAATTTCCTTGTAACTGGAACAAGTCGTATTCCTGTAATAGCATATATAATTGCCTGTTCTGCAGAGGATCTCCAGCACATGACAACAAAGTCTCATAAACAATACTTATTTATTCAACTGTCAATTCCAGCAATAATAATAATAAAAAAATAAATAAAAAAATACGTCTTTAAAAAAAAGAAAAAAAAGAAAAAGAAAAGGCTTTGAATTCCACGAGGGCCTGGTTTGTGAAGCTGGGTAAATATGCTTGTCATGTGTTCCAATAGTTCCACAGCGACTGAGAGTTAGTTTGGGAATGCGGCTGGGATCGGCAGACAGCTTGTGATAACTGAATTGCTTTTTTGAAGCTACATCCATTTGGAAGCACTGTGCAATGTTTTTTTTTTTTTTTACCTCTGTGGTTAGGCTGGAGTTAAAGCCTGTGTTTAATTGTTCCCATGAGTTCCTAGCGTGGCGCTGATAAGGAGCCCTGGGAGCAACATTTAAAACTGCAGCTGAAAAATAACTTGAGAGTCTCTGGCTGCAGGTCTGATAGAGTGACGACAGAGTATCCACACAAAGCAAAGACAAACCAAGACCGGTGAAAAGGGGAGAAAAACAAGACGAGGCCGACAGCAGCAGCAGAGGTCGAGTGTGACTGTAAGCTGCGCACAGCTGAAATGTTTCATTTGCTTTTTTTTTTTCTTTTTTCTTTTAGTGTGCGTGTTTTTTTTCCTGACTTCAGCTTCTTAGAATCCACTTGAAATATCAATTTCAATAATGTTTCTTTCAAGCGATTTTAAATAAGGGGGGCACAGTGTCTCACTTGCTAATCAATAACTAAATTATTTTTATGACACTGTTTTGTCAGCAGTTGCAGCAGAAGAAGAGCAGCGCTGTTAATTTGTCATCCCTGCCTGCCCGTCCCTCGTGCTCCGTCCAAGGCCACGACTTCCAGGGTTTGTCGGGTGAGACCTGTGGGAGTGTGTGTGTCGGATCAATAGCCCACCCACAGCAGAGCCGCGGGCGATCCCTGACCTGGGGTATTGATTAGGCCCAGCTCAGCTGCCAATAGCAATGTGCTGGATGTGACACCGGGCTAAAACAGGAGCTGAGGAAGGGGGATTCCGAATTGCCAGTGGCAGCCCCACAGCACACCGCAGATAAAAGTCAATTCCACTTAACCAAATCACTGACGACTAAATAGTTAGCAGATACAAGAATGCACAGAGTGTGTGATGGCAGCAGCTGGGTGGCTTTGGGGATTTCCCTTTTCCGTGACCTGTATCGAAAGAGCACAAATGGCCAGAAGAGGCGCATGTTTGTTTGTCCTTTAAATGTGGTCACAGCTCCGCCTCTTGGCTACACCTGCCTCATCTATACATTGATTCCTGTAGACTGAGCATTCATCAGGTGTTTAGGATTGACTGATGTTCACTGATATTTAAGGAATTTGTAGCACTTCAACAGAGAGACAAAAAAAAAAAAAAAAAAAAAACCCTCATTGTGGCAGCTCAGCTTTTCTAAATGAGCAAACCATCAGACTTTTAAAAGCAGCTATTAGTTATGAGTTTTTCTGTGGCGTTTTCCTGTGCCTGCACACTCAGATGTAAAGCAGCTCCGTTGCAATTGTCAGACTCCTTTCGATCCATTTTGCTCCCAGTCATTACGAGCCAATATTAGAGTAGTTTACATGTCACTTTACCGGTACTTTGCCTCATGAATGCAATTCTGTGGCTGGTGATTCTGCGTGCATTCAGCACGTATCTATGACTCCATATCTCTCCTGGTAATTGCTGAGTGACAGAAAGGCAATACTGACCACTTCATTATAAGACGGCTAGACTAACTGGACAGTGGCCTCTTGGCTCTGGGTCACTCAGGCCAGACTGACCTTATCTGCCCAGGTCGTCAGGGGTCAGTCACCCAGGAAGTGTTAGGACTTTACTAAGGTTACCGTTAGTGGCATACGAGGTCAGCTGACCCAGGCGAATTGTTCCTATCAGGTATTGATTGCAGTTTGTCTGCTTCGGCTGAGGTTAGACTAATCTCCCAACACCAGGGTCTCAGGGGCAAAGACTTCAGGGTAAAGTTAAGCATTGGAACTAACAGCAGTGATAGTGCAGTTTGTGGATACAAGTGAACATAAGAGGGTCCACCAGAGGAGCTGTGGGGATTTGGGATTTGGGAAGAGTGAGATGTAGCAGCGAGACAGAGACAGTGATTGTTCATTCTTGAAAAAAAAAAATAAAATAAAATAAAATGTCGTATATGGGCCATCAAACTTTGTGCAGGGCAATTTTTTTCCACAGCAAACTGAACGCTTGGAGTCAGATTTGTACCACTCACTACTTTCTAAAATCTTATCTTTATTTTTCTTTTTTTTTTTTTTACTTTGACCTAATATCTACTCTATACAGCAGCTTACGGGACATAAACCACACATTTTATTGTGGCCAATCTATTCTAATGCAAAACTGCTAGAAAATCAGACCCTCAGCTTAAAAACCAGTGCAGACCTGGACCATTTACTACATCTAAAAATCACAATGAACATGACAAAAAGGAAGATGGCACAATAGAACAGCATTGCACCAAAGCATGGCTCATCCTATTTTCTGAGGAATGTTTAAATAGGGAGCAAAATCAATGTTCTTCATTATTTCGCCACAATTTCTGTTCCACTAATAAAAGAAAGAAATAGGTAGGGATTGTTTTATTAAATAGATAATACACATTTTATAGGGAAAAGCCATTTTGCTAAAATATCTGTTCCTTTCAAGAACAGTGTAAAGCAACGCTGTAAAGCAATGGATGGAGTTCTAAGCACATAGATTTTAATATATACGGCTGGGATTCAGGTTTGGCAGATGTTTATTTGGAAATTATTCAGAAACAACAGATTGTTAAATTGCAACTACAGTTTAACAATCTGTTGTTACAGAGTACAAAAAAAAATTGCTCAAAAAATGTCATATTTAGCAAATAATATTCTTCGGATCGTTTTAGAATGCATTTTTTTTTTCCTTTCAGCTCTTGTTGATGTTTGCATCCGAGATTTTTAGTCAAATGCAGAAGGCACTAATCAGTCATTGTTCAAACAGCGCTCCATAGCTCCAAAAGTTGGCATCTCTTCTTTGAGCCTGCCATCTCCTTTACTACAACATAGGGAGACAAATATATGAGATTGTTAGTCAGTAACTATGTGTGTATTTGTGTGTGTCTGTGCCCGTTAGTGTCTGTGCAAGCCCCTTTATGTACATACTAAAGCATCTCTGTTGCTCGTTAACTCTCGTCTCCCTGCAACTGCTTGCCACCGTACATATTAAATCACATTAATGGCAGATGAGCTCTTGCTCTGGAGAGACAGGCGTCTATTTGAAACTGCGTTTTATTGCACTTTGTTCCGTTTAATCAAAAAAATGCTATGTGAAGAGATAACCCGGTTTTAAAAAATCTCAGATAAACAGCAAAGATTGCATCTTTAAATAATAAATGACCCTCTGCCTCTTACAGACGGGAATATGACTGAAAATAATTGAAGACAACAATGTCCTATAAGAGTACCGCTCCTGCAGTGCTGATTCAGAATCCCTCATAACTTCAAACGCTCAGTCATAAAGTATGGATAATCTGCAAAAGAAAAGGCAGGCGTGGTTGTTTACAATTTCTTTCTAATTAAGGCTACAGGATGGGGCATACTGTGTTAAAGTTGATGTCTGTTTGTAAGACTTTGCCAAAAACCCTGTAACTGTTGGCAAATTAGGGGTGGAATGGAAAAGCGAAACAAACAACGACACTCTAATATGATTTTCAGTCATGGAATAAATATTTCACAATCTGTCTACATTTGACACACTTTTAGTCAAGAACAAAGGATTCCTGGGGAACAAATTGCACAAACTGAAGCTTGAGATAATAACCTCTTTGACCTGCATTAATTCAGCATGTAACTGTGTATATGATTTCTACTCAATTTCTATGGCGCTTTTGTTTTAAGCTGATCAAAATTTCTGTTGGTAGGTATGGAAGGGGCATGCTGAAACAGATCAAGAAGGGCTAGTCAAAACAAGATGGTTGGTTTTTGAATTGTTCACTAAAAAGGATAAACCAGCTAAAAAAAAAAAAAAAAAAAAAAAAAAAAGCAGCAATGCCTTATTACTGTTGCTTTTTGACTCTCATTAGACTGCACACAAAGCTGCCGAGTAACATGGCTCCTAAAACAACAGCTATGGTGTTCACGCAATATAGACCATCTACCTTAACAGACACAGTTGTGAGAGTAGAGAAAATGAAGCAAATAGCATGCAGATGAAAGTTTTTACGTCTTCTATTTTTTATTTTTGGGTCTGTGAACATGCGAGCAGTCTGCTGTGTGTCTGAGAGGGATAAGGTAGTGCTTGATGATTAATCACTGGACATAATAACACTTCTCACCACGAGCTCACAGTCCAGCTGATTCTGTGATATGATTGAGGCCGATTAGAAAAGAGAAATAATCATTCCTGACAGTGCATTCATGGCACACTTTAATGACATCTTCTGATTGGACCTAGTGGAGAAGATAATGCAGGCTTTCTTTGGAGTGCCTTCTAAGATTATTTCTTTAACTTCATGAAAAA